CTAACATTTCCAAAAAATTTCCATTATCAATAATGAGATTGAGAAACATGAAAAGGAAATGAAGCATATTTGCTTTAATTTTCTTCAACTTTGAAATACAATTTTGAATTATGAATTTGTAATAGTTATTCATTGTAGCAAGCAATTCTTTCACGCCTTCACCAAATTTATTGGAAAGTCAAGCTTGGAAGAAACACTATAAAGTTCAGCATAAAGCCAAGAACCCATCAATCAATTAAATCTAGAAGGGTATTTCACAATATTTTTGTATGTATTTATATATTTAATATCTAAATTTTATATAATGTCCACTTCAACTCCTCTTAAGAAATCATAAGATTTTTTTTTTTGGTTGGTGTTTATCTTCCCGATATATATGTACATGTATAGATATATAATCCGACATGAGTCGAACAATAAATAATAAACGAGCCATATAGTGGCATAATGATATCTAGCATGATTGTATGTGCATAAATCTGATTAACATTACATTGGATTTCCTTGGATTGATGGTTACCTTCGTAATATCTAGCATGATTTATGTGTTTATGTTTGAGGGCTGAGTAGTTTCTTTCAGGTTATTATTTTTTTACATATCTTTTGGTTGTAATAGTCCTACTGTGTAGGTGTATTATTATTTGAATTCATATGAATGAAATGAAAGTATAATTTCTCTTTTGTTATTTATTATGATATATTATTATATTATATTACTTGGTTATGCACTTTTCTTCTTGTGAGTACAAAACATGTATTTATATTCTTTTATCTCATCCCATGTTGCTGCCTTTCGGACTCAGGGTGTGATAATATAAACCAAAGAGATTTGAAAATTTTGTTATACTTATTTATCATAGGTGGACTAGATCATGCTCCCCGCTGAATAAGAAAAGGCTGGGAAATTCACCCTTAGGCCGACCTAATGAACCCTCATTAGCCATGATTGAGCATAATAGTCACATAGGGGCCAATATCAAGGCTCTAATGATTATCGCAACTTTTGATGTTTTCGATCATCAAACAAAATGTGTTACCATGTAGATCTCAACTCCATGAATTCCATATATCAAAATTTTTATTATCGAATTGATAGGAACAATTTCGAGGAGGTTTGTTTATTTTTTATCAAATTTGGGGCCAACAAAAAATGGTGACGATTAGTCACTATTTTTATATTAAAGGCTATATTCCTGTATTCCGAGCAAACAACTCATGATATAGAGGTCTATGATAGTTGTAAGAACTAAAAAAAAAAATTAAATATTATTGGATGAACTAAAAATGGATGAATTTTAGCACGATCAAACACCACCATTGGGTCACTCTCAAAGAGAGATTTCCAAAAGACTAATTTGTTTTCCTCGGAGGTTGGTAGTCACCATGGTCATGATGGTTGAGCCATACGTAGACATGAGTTGAGCAATGAATGATAGATATGTTATATAATGGTATAATGATATTTTGCATAATTATATGTGTATTAATCTGATTGACAATTCATTAGTTATAAGGTGACATGCACACTTGCAATAGCAGCATATTAGAACCCTTGTGGGAACCATGATATGTGATATTGTTGCATTGATACAATGATTGTTGGCTTCTACTCATACTTATTGATTTGGACATATTTCATGTATAATATCCGCATAAAAATTTAGGTAAATATTCATTTTTGCTTGTTAATGTCAATTTGATTAACAATTATAAGTCTTAGAAAGCTCAGTGGGACCTTTGATAGGTAAGGTTTGGGGTTTGAGAAGGGAAAATCCCAAGTTTGGAATTTCCTTTGCGAGCACAGCAACGTCAATTCTGGCAACGTCGCAACACTGTATCCCTAGGAAAATGGAGAAATAAATTAGGTTTGGGTAGGTGTTGCAGCGTTGGGTCTGAAGTGAGCATATTCTTGGAGAATTTATAAGATTCTTTAGGGGCGTTGCATCACTGGGAAAGCAAACATCCTGACACTAGGTCAAGGTTAGAACTTCGTAAATATTAAAATATCTCAAACCATTTCCAAAACCCATTTGCTTAGCCACTTAGATGAACAAGAAAGTGAGGAAAAAGAAGGAGAGAGAAGGAACAAGGGTTTTGAAGGCTAAACTCCAAAAATCGTTCGTTCAGTCAGGTAGGCAACCCATAGCCTATTCATGATGTCGATTCTGAAGTGTTTATAGAAAGATATGCATTTAAATATAGTTTTCTTAACTTTGAAAAAGGTTTCACCTTATAACTTTTAGTATATTAGTCTATTATCTGTTTTAGACAAAGTTACTATAAGAATATAAAATTTCACTGATTAGTTTACCCTTTATGAATTTCTGATCATTTTCAATAATTAAGTAGCTTCTAAATTTCAATACAATTATAAAGTATGATAAATGAGCCTTTTACACAATCCCAATAAAAATGGTAAAATTTTGATAACTTTGTATAGGTGCTAAAAATTGAGGCTTTTAATAAAATCTGATATTTGTTATATACATGCATTAGATTCTTTGGTAAAATATTGCAATTGCATTATCATGCATTTCATGACACACTCGAGCTCTATTCTGGAAAAGAAGTATGCTTTGGAATCCTCTACTTGGGTCCAAGGTGCATATATCTCTATTATGGATCACTTTTTTCTGTTTTGCTCTGAGTTGACTCTATATTTAAATATGCTCTGCTCTATTCTAGGTTTGCTCTGCACCTGTCTTAAACAGGTGGGAGGTTGTAAATGAGATTATAAGTGGCATTGATGCATGTGCATTCTTGCATTTCTATTAACATGTAGTTTCTTCTGCTAAATTCAAAAATAACATATATATATATATATATATATATATATATTCTTTGTTATTTTGTCTATCATTAAACTCTGATATGGGAAAAGGGTTGGCCTACTAAGTTTATACTCACTCCGTTGTTTAAAATATTTCAGGAAAAGGCAAGGGTCCTGCTGAGTAGGCTAATTTTGGTAGGGGTTGAGCAAGGAGATCACATTTATGTAAGATACTTATGATTTTGTTGTTAAGATCACGTTTCAGTCTTTTGTAGCAATCCTTGTAATTTAAACTATTCTTAATTGAGTATTTTGGAAGAAATATCCAATGTATATGTTATGGATGCATATTTTATATTGGTTTGGATGATTAGGTGGCTTTGGTAAGTTGTGATGTTAAGTTGAGAATTAATAAATGTATAAGAAGAGTACGTTTAAATTCCTCCTTTAGATCTCGGGCATGACAACTTGCTCCATTCCTTTGTCGTTTATGCTTTAATATATAAGAGTAACTTGTTGGTTTTGATTTGTCAAAGTCACCCGTGGTTGCTTTTGTTCATAGCAGGTCCTATTAGAGAGCTAGGGGAACCACCACCTCAAGAGCAGATTGTTTGACAGTAAAATTTATATTGGGTAATTTGATATTTGTAGTAGGTCATTTATGTATTTGTGTTTAGGAGAAGGTTTCTTTATCAAATTTGGGGCCAGCAAAAAATGGCGATGATTAGTTGCTATTTTTATATTAAAGGCTATATTTCTATATTCCCAGCAAAAAACTCATGATATAGAAGTCTATGACGGTTGTAAGAACTCCAAAAAAATTAAATATTATTGGATGAACTAAAAATGGATGAGTTTTAGCACGATCAAACACCACCATTGGGTCACTCTCAAAGAGAGATTTCAAGAAGACTAGTGTAAATGTGATACAATTTGGTTAGTTCAAATCCTTTCATGCTCAAATTTAGTGTTTCTAGTTTCATTAGAATCATTGCGATGAGACAGTTATTTCGACTATAAATTTATATTGTTTGTCACTTATTTATTTTAGAAATAATTTTAAAGATTTAATTAGGTAATTAGTAAGATCCTCAATTTGTACAATAAATTGTGCTTGGTAAGGTAGAAATTTTCTTGATTCCATTAGCCTCTATAAATCTTATAGATGGATTCATTGATCCATTAATTTAGAACAAAATCTCATAAACCAAATTATTTACAACCCTTCAAAACTAACCAAGCATTTCACTAGAACTTGACACCATACCCTAGCATCATTTTGAAGTTTCTAATTAAAATTGGCATTCATTTTTAGGTGTTTCTTGTTTATCTCATGATATAACATCATCAAGATTACCAAAATCAAATTTACAAAATTTGCTAAATCCTAATTATAGACTAAAAAAATCCCAAAGGCCATATTAATTTCTAATTGCATTTAACAAAATTATAAAATTTAATAAATTCAATGTTTTTCAACATATTTTCTAAATAGAGATTGAAAACATTTGAAGTTAAAATATATTAATTAAATTTTGATTATGATGAGCCTCATAGTTTTTAACTTTATTTTAAGAAGAATGTAATACATAAAAAATTAATAAAAAATAATTGCATCAAGCTTAATGCAAATCTAACGATATGAAGACAAATTTTAACTTAAAAATTTTTTGATTAGGATATCCTAGTAGCAGTGATTGCTATAAATTACACAGTAATTCAACTGATACCTAGTGCTTCCAACTTACTATTGAAATAACCAAAGGTGCAGCAAGAAGCAAGCGATGTGTTTATTCTTTGTCAACTTTGGGAAAAGTTATGCTGTGTGGATAGTAGACGGCGTCCAGAGACCAATCGAGTAATAAATTGGCCTATGGACTATCCGGTGTCCACATAGAATAATTTCTCCAACATTGGGTGGTAAATTGGACAAAATACCATGTCACAAGAAACGAAAAGCACACAATGGTCTTCCATGGAGAATGGCTGAAGAAAATAATAGCTAAATGAAAAGCCAGGTAAAAGAAAATGGAAAAAAAAAAGTTTGGATCGATATCAAAGTTTTATCCGAACATCTTAAAATTGTTGGATTTACAATGAGAAGAGTGTAACACACATTCCTTATTTATTGCACTTATCTCAAAAAAAATCTAACAATTTCGAGGTTCATAATAACCAAATTTTGATGAGAATATCTCTTTAAATTTTTTTTTTTTTAAAGAAAACAAACTTATATACTGATTTCTATTAATAATAATTTAATGAAACAATGTTTCTTCTCTACAATTTTGCACCTCTCCATTTGGATCAATGCAAATACCCAATCTTGAAACTATTTATGAAAAGATGAATAAAGAATGAAACACCCAAAGCAACAAAACCCACCCTTATCACCTAAAATTGACAAGAGATAGAGTTCCTAGAAACAACAATCGCAATGGGGTTAAGAATAAGATGAACATGTGAACAAACTGAGAAGAAGCCATCTTAGCAAACCAATTCAATGTCTCCTTACCACCATTTAGGATGCCAGAAATGCTAACCTGATGCTTATTGATGTCTGATGATGGTTTAATATTCAGGCCAACAATGAAAGCAGACTGGACTCCTTGTGCCGACACAAGAGGCCACCAAATCAATCGCCGGCGAACCCTCTTCGTCTTTCTAATATGCCTGAGCTCCTTTCCAACAACCATTCTTATCGATCTTAAGTAGGAATTCACATCATGGTCTCTGAAAATAGTTCCTTCAGAGCCATAGGCTGAGCCATCACTGAGAATCTCAAGAGGGTGAGGGGTGTTAAGAAATGCATACTGAGCAGACTGTAATAGTTTCATTGGTTCTTTGGTTTCTTCTAATGGAAGTTCCATGAGGTAAAGGCCACTGCCAGAAGGAAGAAGGTGGTGGTGAGGGGAGAACTTCTCCTCTGGCTGGAGGATCAGAAGCTTTCCCATTGGAGCATACAGAAGACTCTGCAGTGTTAATGCATGAAAAATATTTACCATTCCTGATGGATTGGATGGGAGAAACCATAAATAGTATATTATTACAATGGGTAATTGAGATAAGCCTAAGTTAGAGGAGAAATCTGCTCTAACTGAATCATAGTTCAAATTACAACACTCATAGAATAAGGTCCACCCTGCAAAAGCTCAACTTTCCACCATTTTCCATCTCCAGTTTTTTTATATGGGTTTTATAGTAAGGAAATGAACAGAAATTGGTAATAATTTAGACAAAACTAGTCCAGCAAAATGAATAGTTTGCAGGCTTGTTTTTCTTCTTTTCTTTCTCTTCATTTGGTTTTTGAATACAGAAACTAAATTTAATTAAACTTCTAATGTAGATATTTAAATCATTAGCTTAAAGCAAATCTGGTGTTAACATGCTTGCAGGTCACTAATAGCATAAATACAGTAAATCATCGCATGAGTCTCTATATGTCAAGATTCCATAACCTATTTTGTTTCATGAATCCTGAAATAAAGGATAATATATCAACCTTTAATATAATACCACAGAGAAAACTCTAGTGACCATACCTGATATTTTAGACATGGATGATTGCGAAAGTTTCTGTTAACAGCCTTGAGAATCTTAGCCACTTGATCGGGATAGTGGCAAGAAAAAGCCCGGGGAACAATATCTCTGTGCAACATAATGGCCTGAACATGGTTTTGAGGCAATCCGAGCTCGCGAAGCAAGTAGTCGCCTCCACACATGATAGATGGAGCGCCGAAAGTGATAACTGGCAATAAAGAAGAAGGCGGCGCATCTCCTCGTACCAACAACATAAGATTCACAAGAACAGCAAGGCTTCCTCCAAGAGAATGGCCGGTGAAGCGAAAAATAGCAGAATTGCCATGCAGCTTCAGGTGGGCTTGAACCTCTGCTAACATCTGCTGATAAATCCCTTTTGCAGCCTCATAGATGCCCCTGTGCACAAGTACATCCAATCCCTAACAAGGGAGAAACAGTATAAATAATGTGAAAAATACAGTAACTATTTTGGTAATGTTGCATGCAGTGCATGCATCAAATAGAAGGAAGAGAATATCAGCAAAAACCTGTGTAGTAAATGTTGAAGTTTACATCATAAAGTGTATAATAAATACTTTTCTCAATAGTTACAAAATGCTGCGCAATAAGTTTGTCATTGCTATAAGCAGCTATAGATAGATAGATCAGAGTATCAATGGCATTCAGGACCATAGATAGCTTGTTCCGAACTATTCAACAAGAAGAGAAGCTTAAACAAAAGAGTTTATAAACTTTTACACGACATTAGTAGTCCAAAAATAATTTGCAGGGCCTAAGGTTTCCTTCAAATAACAAACAAAATATAGCCCACTTCTCAGAATGGTGGTGGTAATGATTTGCAAAAGAGAAAGAAAAAAAAGAGAGAAGATTTTGTTAACCAGGTTTGACAATACCTCAAACTGAACAGGTTCAAACAGAAGATTAGCTTGCCAGGATGCCAAAGACTCTGAGCCCTGAAAATAGGGATTTTAAAAAGAGAGTAAGAAAATCTATCAAATATTCAAGAAAAAGAGACAACTTATGGCAAGCTCAAGGAATCCTGACAAACTTTTGTAGTTTGACCTGAATGACAAAATATCTTGTTCGACTTTTATCATCATCACATATGAACCACTCGCATGGCGAGGAGCTCGCTGAATTCAAGTCCTCCGCAACCGCATCCTTCATCTCCTCCTTGCCAGCAATGACTGCAGTGACAGAATTTGTGGTGGCAACAAAAGAAGCCACCTGTGAGCATCTCACAACAGATTCATCTTCATCTGAGTAGGCATTAATGGAGGGAACATCTCCACTCTCTGCCTTCTGAGTCCTTTGACGAAGAATGTTCTTTGTTTGAGATTGCAGATAAGTGGCAGCAGAAGCCACCGTCCGATAGGCTACAGAAGCACTAATGCCTTCAACATTTTCACCATGAACCATATTCTCTTCTCTTTTAGGAGTTGGCTCTGTAGCACTTTTATCTTGCTCTGGTGTTGACCCCTCAGCATTAGACAATAAGGCTTTCTTCTCCAATGAAGAAGTGACAAAGTGAAGGCCATGAGGTTTAAGGAGTTTAACTGGCTGCAAGGAAACAAATTAGCTGGTAAATTTGGCTATGGAAAGAATTTCTTTCGCTTGATTATCAAGCAATACTTGTTTTCCTAAAAACAGTCAGATGTTTGTAATGAACTAGCGAGCAACACAGAAGAATTTAGCTATGACCAAATACACAAAGATTACAGCTCTGACAAAACATAAGGGAAAAAATCGTTTATAAAGATGCAGTTCAAGTCTATTTATCAAACAATATATTACTAGAGGTGATACCTTTGTTAAGATTCAGGAAAAAAAATGCTTGTATGCAACAAAAAAAAAAACGTTCCCAAAAGCTCCCACAAATTTTTTTCCAATTCAGTGAACTCGGAAAGGGGCATCTCCATCAGATTCCAACATATAAAATGAAGTTTAAATTCGGACAATATACTCTGGAAAAAAAAAAAACACCAACTACAAATTAAAAAGCTCTATCACCATAGAGTACATATCAAACTCCCAACTATTACGCTCTTCGATCTTCTTCCCCAAACACAAAACCCAAAAGCAAACGAAATTGAAATTCCGAATCTGCCGTCCTAGAACAGCATTCAGTTTCACACAAGGCATTCAAAATAGATCAGACAAGCCCAAATCCCCAAATAAGATCACATATTCTCAATTGATCGTACTAAACATTCACAAATATCCACAAGATACAAAATATTCAAGATGAAAGAAGAGCAAACTATCAGGATCCCCTTCAAAAAGTTCCAAACCTTGATATTGGGTATTCTGTACGAAAGTTTCCCTAGATAAGACATCTTGGCGTAGAACTCTGCCTCCGACAGCGAGACCCGGCGGAGAAATCTAGAGAACGATTCCCTATCGAACTCCACTCCATCCATCTCCTCCTTCTGCTCCACTGAGAAACCCTCAACCCCATCCTCCCCACCGCAACACACACATCTGTCCCCTTCATCCTCTACCTCCTCCTCTTTTTCGTAACCGACGTGATCCTGCTTTCTCCTTTCCTCGCCCACGCGCAGAATCTTCATAACCCAATTTCCCCTTCTCGCCTTCTCATTAGCCACGGATGTGGCATCCTGGTGTGCAACAGTGGAAATATGAGCGGGCGGCGCATGGTGAACTTGCCGGTGATCTAAGCCGACGGCTATTAACGGGGCAGAGATGCCCTGGATGAAGCGAAGCGCCTCCATTCAAAAGACTGATTCCTCCTCCTATCCTTCACCGCTTCTTCTTTCCTTTTTCCTCGGAGAAATGCGGGACGCCGAAAGACAGAGAAGGAGAGCAAGATGGAGAAGAAGAAGTTAACTTGGATTCGAAGTTGGAGAAATGCAGAAAGCGGAAGCCAACGGCTTCGTGGTTTCCGCTACGAAAGCGTATTTTATTGACGAAAAATAAACTTGAAATAATACATATTACAAATTTGATTATATATATATATATAAGATGGAGAAGAAGAAGTTAACTTGGATTCGAAGTTGGAGAAATGCAGAAAGCGGAAGCCAACGGCTTCGTGGTTTCCGCTACGAAAGCGTATTTTATTGACGAAAAATAAACTTGAAATAATACATATTACAAATTTGATTATATATATATATATATATATATATATATATATAATATTATATAATATGTATATATAATATTATATAATATGTTAATATATATTATAATATATAATATTACATATAAATTATATCATAGAGGAGGAGAACCCGATCGGGCATGAGTTGAAGACTAGAGGGCCAGGCTCAGGCAAGGGTCGCGAGAGCCTAGAGTACGCC